GCTATTCACCCCCCCTCTAGACATTTAGGACCTTTCACCAAGCCACCCATGCCCGGGGCTTGGTTTGGCCCGCTTGGTTCCCGATCTTGGAAGGCAACAGCCGATGAAGGGTGGCCCCGAGTGCCTTCATGTGGCTCAACTAAGCTTCCCGCCCTGACTGACGTGAGGAATACCCAGAACCTAACATGTGGACAAAGTCGTAGAGCGCCAGGTCTTGATTGGGCATTGTTCCCTCACCCTTGTGAGGTCGTGTCACTCACTTCTGGCCCAAGGTCACGCTCGGGGTGTGATGCATTGTGACAAGTATGAACGTGTGGCCATCGCCTGAGGGCTCCTAGACTCGCAAGTTAGTCTCCCTCTACATGTGGCCATGCCCTTAGCGTGCGATGGATGCTACGAGGAAGACAAATCTCGGCATGGCACAATGGCAAGTTTGACTTATGAATGTTAGTTCCAAGCATCGGCATAGGATGTTAGGGATGGTTTAGCGATGCCGGCCACGACATTAACGTGGGACGGCACCTGACACCTCCACCAACCGAAGACTACTACACAAAATCCTAGACCCCTCCCCTGAGAACCATGATTCTTGTAGTGCCCTCTGTTATATAAGGCTAGGCATGGTTTCCTATAGTAGGGATTAGATCCAAACCGAGCGATCAAACCCTAAATCATTAGCATAGCGCTCTTGTACCATCTCTCTCTCTCTCTCTTAAGAACTTGATTAAGCACTCTAACATGAAAAACACCACTCCTAGACGTAGGGCTTAGAGGCCCGAACCAGAATAAACCCCTTGTGTCGTGAGTGCTTAAGCCACCGAAATCACACACATCGACCCATGTTTGAATCACTAATCACTGTCGTGAAATTGAACCCACGACAACATCCTTTGCGAGGGGGACCCCTGAGGACTAGGGGAGCATGAGCTTCTTGATACGTTAGTAAAAACACTGGAGTCATCGATGAGAGTTTGCATCTCTATCTCAATGAAGCTTCCGCATTTAATTTGTGTACCTAGGTTGTGTGATTAAATCTTTAGTTTAGTGTCAACAAAATATGCTCGGTAGTCCACCGAGGGGGTATCCCGCGATGGTAGATTTGTCGGTGGGGATGCGCGTAATCAGGAACCAGATGGTGACACAAGGCGCAGAGACAGCGATTTAGATAGGTTCGGGCCGTCTGATCGATGTAATACCCTACGTCCTGTGTCTTTGGTGTATTGTATTGATCTGTATGTAGATCCGATCTGATAGATCCTGATGGATCCTGTCCGCTAGGGGACCCCTACCTCTCCTTATATACTCTGGAGGAGGTAGGGTTACAAGTAAAGTAGCCTATTTGGTACTATACAATGTCTTGCGGTGCACGCCGAGTAGCGCCGTGCACGTCTTAACCTTGTGGGCCAGGCCACCCCTGGGGGCGCAGCCCATGTCTTGGGGGCCATACCCCCACATTTAGCTTGCTAGGTTAGTTGATAGGAATTAGGATTGGAACATAGATTGCATAACCCTTTTGTAGCAACACACTTAGCAGAACCTTAGTTTTACATCTAGATAGATTACTTTATTACACATGTTTTGATAAGTGGAAATTAGAGGCCATAATTTAGAGTAGATTTTTTTAAAAGCCTAATTTACCCCTCCCCCTATTAGGTATCACAGTCCCTTTACCCGGTAAAAGGAGTTGCCGTGGATCAAAAGTTTACAAATTGTGGAATAAGTTGTTTAATTTCTTAATGTGGAATAGGTATTTGTATTTTTGACTAGTTATTTTCTTGGTAATGGGAGACACCCATTAACATCGATCTGCCTATAGATTCTAAACTTGGATTATTCGGAATTGCTTTGGTCAAATTTTGGGCTTCCAATCGATGCTATGTTACCTAGTTCTATTTGTGTCTAGGGGACAATAACAAAATGAGACAATTCTTTCCCTTTTTTATCATAGAGGAGTCGTATGAACTATGAAGCTAAAGTTTCATGTACGGTTTTGGAATAGGGGTGGGACATGATCTATTATTACTTTTTTTCTAATCAAATTTAAATATTTGTGTAAACTATCGAATTTTAGTTGTAGCTATGGTTATATGTTGATAATACGACATCCATGTATCTATAGGGCTTATACGACAAATAAAAATTAATGTGTTTGGTGAGCTTTCATTGCAAATGATCTCAAACTCATGTCATATCTCAAATTGAAGAAGGAGCAAGCAAAATGAAAAGACAAAAGAGACAAGGTTACAATGGCTATTGTTTGGTCTCAATGTTGGCTCGCTTGCATAAACATGAAGAGATTAGTATTAAACTAGGCCATGTTTTGGTGGCGCTTCAAGCAGCTCCAGCCCCTCCACCTTACCGTTTATGCCACTGTTCATAGAACCTCTTTTCCTCTCTCCGAAGCGAACGAACTAGGAAAAAAAATGGAACCACCAACTAGAACTCCTCGTGACAGTGTAGTAAGGAGCTGAAGCCGTTTGAAGCGCCACTAACAAGGCCTCATTGCGCACTTTAGTTGTCATAAATTAAACTTATCTAACTTTTATCAAATGTATAGATCAAATTAGCTTTATTAGATTCTCCACGAAATGTTTCTTACCCGTGCATTTATTTAAACTATAGAGGTCTGTTTGAGTATTAATATATATTTTTTCTAAAAGCTTGATTGAACTCAAAAAACTTAACTTAGGATAGAGCTCATGCCTCACTTTGCGCTAATAAACCTCACTACCTGCAAAGTTCAAACCAGAATGAGTGCTTAGTTGTTACACCATGATAATACACCATGTATCTTGTAGGTCTGTTTGGTTCAACGGTAGACAAAGTTGCCTGGATGGTCGCGCTCTCCCATGCGTTTGATTTTAAGCACTTAGGGTGAGGATGGAGGCCCGGAGCTTTTTCATGTCTGGGAGGCCACTGAGGGCACCCCCAATGGGCAAACTAGCACGGTTTCTTTCTCTATTAATTATCTTGCGAAGTAGACATTTTACTGATGTGACAAATAATTTAGTGAAGAGAGAGAGAGAGTAAAAGTTGAAGAAACAATTTCTATACAAGAAACTTTGTCGATGGTAGAAGAAACTACAGACGCTGTATTGGGACTGGCTGCTTGTTTCTTCCTGTAGTTGAATGGGGAGAGTGGATTGGATGAGACTGAGAGTAAGAAAGGGCCTCGTAAAAAAAAATCCGTATTGTGAGATGTGGTTTTTATAGGTAGTTTCTCAGGCTATGAAAACTATCACGTAGTTTCTGCAATTAGACTATCCTAACACCCCGTACAACAACCTATGTTAGAGGCAGAGGATTATATTAAATACATATACATGACCATTGGTAATAGAATGGGAATAAAGATAAACAAAATAGAGAAGCGCCGTACAGCACTCAATGGCCATGAATAAACAAAAATCATATTTTCGCCATTAATTATACTTCTCCATCACAAAATAAATAACTTTGTGAAAAAATTCGGATAGATTAAGGACGCTGGCAAAAAAAATATAGATTAAGGATTTGGCAATTATTGTTTACATGCACCAGTGATTAGCTCAAGTATTAGAAGACGATGTCTCCTGTTCGTTTCACTCATCAGTCTGGCTTATCAACCATGGTATAATGTTTTTTGCAGAAATCATCGGCCGAATAGGAAGTTATTTATTTTCGTAATAAAAAAGTTAATGTTATAACCTCACGGACGCAGCAAAAGAAAAGTTCCGGGCGCTAATGCAGAACCCACCTGCCAGTGGCTAAGTATGAGTTCCACGGGAATCTAATAACCAAAGTTCTTTTCCCACGCAAAATGGGGAAAACAAAACGAAAACAAAAATGGAGAGGGAATATAGGAGGAATTCCTTACGTACCATTAAAAAAGATCGCGATGCCCTATATATCCTCGAAAAAATTCAGCGGTCTTCAGCGCCACTGCTCTAACTTTTTTGTACCCTCCATGCCACTGCCGTCAGTCTAGGCTCTAACACCGTCAAACTGCAGGTGTGAAAAGTCGAAAATACCCTAAGTCTAAATATATCATTAATTTTTTGAGCATCTTAACGACTTCAAATGAAAAAACTCAAAACTAGAAAGTTGTAGATCTCGTCGATATCTATAATTTTCATATAAAAATTATTTTTATTTAATTCCGCAAAAAAATCATATCAAATTATAATTTTTTTGCGGAATTAAATTAAATAAAGATAATTTTTATATGAAAATTATAGATCTCGACGAGATCTACAACTTTCTAGTTTTGAGTTTTTAATTTGAAGTCGTTAAGATGCTCAAAAAAAATTAATGACATATTTAGACTTAAGGGTATTTTCGACTTTTCACACCTGCAGTTTGACGGCGTTAGAGCCTAGATTGACAGCAGTGGCATGGAGGACACAAAAAAAGTTGGACCAGTGACGCTGAAAACCGCTGATTTTTTTTTTTAGGACACATAGAGCATCGCGATTTTTTTTTTTTTTTTTACGGCCAATTCCCCCGATATTATAGAGGCCAAGCGCAGGCGAGCACGAGGAGATAAATGGCCCAGAGGAAAAGGCGAGAGCAAATCCAAACCAACCAATCCCAATATCCGCAGGCCTCCCTCTCCACTGGACCACACCCTCGCCTCTCCCACAACCCAGACTCGCAAAGCCCCTCTGCCAATCTCTGCAACATCATCGATTCCCCAGGCGAAAAAATTACTCTGGACTTTTTTTTTTCAATCAGATCAGAGGAGTAGGGTAGATTGGATTGGTCAGATTATTCAATCTCCACTGCAGTCTCTCTGAAGAGAAGAGGCCAATCAGGCCAGCCTTTCCACAGTTCGGAGAAATCATCCCTCAGTGCGTGAAGCAGCTTTGATTCGCCTGCGCAACTCATAGAAGAGAGCCAGGAGCTTGTTCTTGGCTGCTTGACCGATTCTTGAGCTGCTGCGGATCTCGCCAGAGGGCCAAGAGCTTGTTCTTGTGTCGGGGAATTCTTGGTCAGCCGTGCCGGATAAGGGTGAGGGTGCCATGTCAGCATCGCAGTGCTCGATGAGCGGCGCCGGGGAGCCGGGGATGCGGACGGTGGTCTGGTTCAGGCGAGACCTGCGTGTGGAGGACAACCCGGCGCTGGCGGCAGCCGCTCGGACGGCCGGGGAGGTCGTGCCGGCGTACGTGTGGGCGCCCGAGGAGGACGGGCCGTACTACCCCGGCAGGGTGTCCCGGTGGTGGCTCAGCCAAAGCCTCAAGCACCTGGACGCCTCGCTACGCCGGCTCGGCGCCGGCCGACTCGTCACCCGCCGCTCCAACGACGCTGTCGTCGCGCTGCTCGACCTCGTCCGCAGCACCGGCGCCACGCACCTCTTTTTCAACCACCTCTACGGTTCGATCCCTCTCACTCTAGACTGGATATTGTTACGCCTTGCTACATGTTGCAGCTGTTCTTGGTTTCTTGCTGCCACAGAGTATATGCAAATCTTCAGCTTGACTTCGTGTCCAAAATCGATTTTTATCCTGGTTTTCTAGCCTTGCTCCGTCTGGTTGAAGGGGATCCAGTCCTTCACGATCCAAATAGTAAAGCAGAGGATATATGTTTTCTTTTTAGAGAGAAAGAGGATCTTTTCATGAACAGTTTTGCTTGTATATATCTGCCATTAATGGATGTTTCATACCTTAATACCCTTACTCCACACGTAAACCAACTCCAAGTTTAGCAATTAGCATCCTGCCTTACTAACTTTGGTCGCCGTCGCCCTCTTTAATTCCAAAAAGTCCTTGCGCCCAGCAACTGGTACTCACCAAACAACCTGCATCTTTCTTCTTCGGTTGAGTTTTCTCCCAAGAACCATCATAAAAAAAAAAACTTTTAGCACCTTATCAACTGGGCCGGCTAACACGAACGGTCTTCCGTTGCTCACCGATTGCTGTCTTGTGCCCGCCGTGCAGATCCGCTGTCGCTGGTCCGGGACCACCGCGTGAAGGAGCAGCTGACGGCTGAGGGCATCTCTGTGCAGTCCTTCAACGCTGATCTGCTGTACGAGCCGTGGGAGGTCCTCGACGACGACGGCTGCCCCTTCACCATGTTCGTTCCATTCTGGAACAGGTGCCTGTGCATGCCGGACCCCGCCGCACCACTTCTGCCGCCCAAGAGGATCAATTCAGGTATCCAAACGCATAACCTACAGAGTTCTGATGCTCATACTCATACTCATACTCATACTGTAGGGGACCCAGTCCTTGCAGCAGATCAATCACTGACGTGAAAAATGCTTCGTTTGTTGAGCTCCACAGGTGACTTGTCGAGGTGTCCGTGGGACGAGCTGATCTTTGAAGACGAGTCCGAGAGGGGCAGCAACGCGCTGCTTGCGCGGGCGTGGTCACCAGGGTGGCAGAATGCTGACAAGGCACTGACGGCCTTCCTCAACGGTCCGCTGATGGACTACTCCGTGAACCGCAAGAAGGCCGACAGTGCCAGCACGTCCCTGCTGTCTCCGTACCTGCACTTCGGCGAGCTCAGCGTCCGCAAGGTCTTCCACCAGGTCCGGATGAAGCAGCTGATGTGGAGCAACGACGGCAACCACGCTGGCGAGGAGAGCTGCACCCTATTCCTCCGCTCCATCGGCCTGCGGGAGTACTCGAGGTACCTCACCTTCAACCACCCCTGCAGCCACGAGAAGCCCCTTCTGTCGCACCTCAGGTTCTTCCCCTGGGTCGTCAATGAGGTGTACTTCAAGGTTTGGAGACAAGGGAGGACTGGCTACCCTCTTGTCGACGCTGGCATGAGGGAGCTCTGGGCCACTGGGTGGGTCCATGACCGGATACGTGTCGTCGTCTCTAGCTTCTTTGTCAAGGTACTCCAGCTGCCATGGCGCTGGGGGATGAAGTACTTCTGGGACACCTTGCTGGATGCTGACCTTGAGAGTGACGCACTAGGCTGGCAGTACATTTCTGGGTCTCTCCCTGATGGCCGTGAGCTTGACCGCATTGACAACCCTCAGGTACTTTAGGCCTTTCCTCTATTCAATCTTTTCATGGGTAATAAAGTAGCACCTTGATGAATTATATTATATCAACTGAATTTTGCAATGTGTTCAGTTTGAAGGGTACAAGTTTGATCCGCACGGGGAGTACGTACGGCGATGGCTACCGGAGTTGGCGAGGCTGCCAACGGAATGGATACACCACCCCTGGGATGCACCTGAGTCTGTGCTTCAGGCTGCAGGAGTTGAGCTAGGCTCCAACTACCCCCGCCCCATTGTTGAGTTAGATGCTGCCAATTCCAGGTTGCAGGATGCCCTGTCAGAGATGTGGGAGCTTGAGGCAGCCTCTCGTGCTGCGATGGAGAATGGAATGGAAGAAGGCCTCGGTGATTCCACAGATGAGCCGCCGATCGACTTCCCTCAAGAATTACGGATGGAAGTGGACAGACAACCGGTTCAACCTGCTATCCACACACCGGCAGTGGCTGGTTGGAGACGAGAAGATCAGATGGTGCCTAGCGTGACTTCCTCATTCATTAGAGCTGAAACCGAACTTACTGCAGATTTTGGCAACACCAGTGGGGACAGTAGGCCAGAAGTGCCGTCAAACATTCATTTGCAGGCTCGGGTGGAGAGGGAAGAAACAGTTGACGGTGGCACTGGCAATACTGTCAGGATGAATGGCAACCATCAGCAGCAGAATCTTCAGAACAACATGCACCGTGTGCTAGGTATTGCTCCATCAGTTTCAGAGGCATCGAGCAGCTGGACGGGCAGGGAAGGTGGAGTGGTACCGGTCTGGTCACCTCCGGCAGCTTCGGTACATTCTGATCCTTATGCTGCCGATGAGGCTGACATTTCCAGTAGGAGTTATTTGGACAGGCATCCAAAAAAAAAACTCGACCGGGGGGGTTAAGACTGCCCCCGCAGCATTTCAAATAAGAAGGACCATCTCACCCGGCCGAGAAAACCCCCGAACCCCCGCCCCCACCCTTACACGGTGGCTTTCCGTCGCCGAAGTGAGAATTGGGCCGGTGCCCCCCCCCCAGTGCTTTGGTTATGGGGACGGACGAGGGGATTTTTTTAACCTCAGCCTGAAATTCGCTCCCACGGGGAGTCGAACCCAGGACCTGAGGAGTGCCGCTGGGTCACCTAACCGTTTGAGCTAGGCGCCCTTTGGCTTGGACAGGCATCCACAATCACATACGATGATGAACTGGAGTCAACTCTCTCAGTCATTGTGAGTTCAGTTGCACGGTAACTTATTTTTACAGGAAAAAATGCATTGTCATAAATTGAAAAATTGCAGCTTATAGCAAAAAGTAGACAGTAGTTGTCTAAAGTCATTGTTAATGTGGCAGTTAAAATTAACTGACAACTTGAATTTGATGTGTAGTAGCTGAGTAGAACATTCCAAATGCCTACTAATGATCCCTTTTTTATGAATCTCTTAATGCAGGACAACAGGGTGGGAAGTGGATAATTAGTGCTGTGTCCGGATTTAATTGGTTAGGAGTTCAGCAGAGAGAATTATATTATATACATATGTAAATTATCACATTTTGTCCGTCTATAGTCTTGGTGTGCATGCAAGTCATCAATCATGCAGCTTCCTGGATGCAATAATGGTTATGTGAAGCTAGTTGTATAGAACCTTGTGGTATAGGTTGCTAGGTGTCCACGAGATATGTATTATTCGTCAGATAAGAGTATTCTAGCAGCAGGTTCATTTTGTATCTGGTTATTGTCTTATTGCAGTTTTTGGTGATGGGATAGTCAACATAGAGGTGTGTTCTCAGTTTGGTAGACATAGAACTTACCTGCTATCTGTGAGGACTCAAAGGGAACATCTTGGCAGTGAGATTGTGTGCCACTCTTGCCTGCTGCTACTTTGCCTCAATAAAGAAGTTACCTGAATCTTTTTCACAATGCACCGTGGTGAATTAATCAGGTGATATGAAAGACAATGGAAGTTTAAGATGACAAACGATGAGATTTACTAGAGGTAACATAAATGATTTGCAAGGATTGCACATCTTATGATAAGTAGAAAAACTACCAGATATGCTACCGGAGACAACATAGATAATTAAGCAATCGCATGGCAACCCCTCCACTCTACCATAAGCTGGGACAACGAGCACATCATGCACATGATGCTTTGCCCTGGCCGAGTGGGAACCGTAGCAATCACAATTGACAAGCAAAACCATCTGAATTAGACGAGTCATTGCAGGATAAAACCAACAACTAACATAGTGCAGGAACTGCTCATAGAGCAGGCGGTAAAGCCCCAAGGGTGGGAGCTGACCGGCCAGGGTTCAATCCCTGACTCCTACAATGGCCTCCAAAGAAGGCCGGGTCAAGTGACCCTTTTCAAAACAAAAAACAAAAAAAAAACAAAAAAAAAAAACTAACATAGTGCAGATTTTCAATGAGAAGGATTGAGCACACAATAATTGGTTTTTAGTTTCTGTCACCATAAAAATATATATTCAAAAGTCACAAGTCACATAGTCTAAATAACAATCCATGGAAGATACAATAGGTTCATCATGCTGTGCAAATATAGACAGCTGCACATGTAAATACTTCATTAATATGAAACCTCCTTCAAGAAGTTACATGCAAGCATGTCAACTGCCTGCTGAAACTGATTCCAGGCTAGTGTCCTACTAATTTAATTCTATATATAGCTTCACGAACAGGCAACTCTTCAAGAGTCACATCTGGCCCACTTGACGGTGCAAATTCCAGCCTTGTGGACAAGATGAGGTTAGCATTACATCCTGCTGATGATATTTCCCATCTCTGACAATTATGCACATCAGTCTTTCTTCTTCCTATCAACATATGGATACTTCTGGTAGATGAATATGCTTGTTGCGACAAGTGGTAATGCCATCAGGCAGTAGAGTGATGGTGGCTTCCCATCAAACACAAATTGTAGCAGTGCAGTTACAAGGAGAGCTGAGACTATAACAAAACCCTGAAAAAGAGTCCAGTTCCCAGATGTCAATGAAAGGCATGGCTGTTTTTCATTTAATGTCAGTTTAGGCACTTGCCTTTCTAACGCCACCTGCGTAAGTTGTGACAAGACCAACAAGAATTCCACCCACGGCATTCATTAATACCGGTACCTGAGGTAAAGAATGGTGGATTAGAGACCCACATATCAATGAAGATCTTACAGCTTTTGCTTCCATCTGTGTCGGATGTTACAGATGTACTTTTCAGTCAATGCAGGACATATCAGTGCCTTCAAAAGATTGGCATTAAAATTTGAAGCATAAAGGAAGGCAATACCTATTTCAATAATTTGGTCCTTGAGAAAAAGTTAACTTGCACTAAAGACAGTGAAGCAATATCCTAGTTAGATCCTCGAAGATCAATATTTACCTACTTGGCTATTTTAGACCAGTCAAGCAACAGATGCAAACATCCATATGGAAAAGCCTAATTATCAAGGCAAATGGCAAGGGTGCAATGCCAGGATATTATCCTGTCTTAACCATGAACCGTCCATAAAAAAATTGGAATGCCTAGATTAACCGCTAGCCTGCTAGACTGATGTGCTACCTTAACAACTCATTAATGTTCTAGGTTCTACATTAACAAAAAAAATGAAAATTGACAATTTATCTTATATAGAGTTAATTACACAAAGCAGAAGATTGGAATTGCGTACTGGAAATATTGTAACCAAGGTGTCCGGTGTTTTTCTACATTTCAGTAATAGCATGTCATTGCAAATAGAAGTAGTTTGTTACAAAGAACACTCGTCTTTTAGGTTACATTCCCGCCTGTTATATACATACATATATGAAAACACGACCGGCCAAAGGAACTACCCTACAATAACAGAAAGGTAATAAGACCCTTTGCCCCCGAGAGGATCCATTGATGGACCTCAGTCCCTACCGTTTGCAGCAAGCACTCCATGGAAGGTGACCGGTTCTGAAGACAATCATTCCTGTGGTTACAAATTGTCCATGCACCCAGGATGACCAGCGAGTTGAAGCTCATGTGTTTCTCCTTGCATACAAGGAGCTCTGATCAACGCCACAACTCTACAAAGCTGTCCATCGGCGCAGCTGGCTGGTCTGGGAGGCTGAAGCAGCTAAAGATGCAATGCCAGGCCTCAAGGGCGAACACACAGGTCATAAGTGCAGCTTGATGGGTGTGGCATTCCTCTTCTGGTCTACCTGTCTGCAGTCAAGCACCGGTCTAAGATGGCTAGCAAGAGGAAGAGCTTGCAGCGCGCAGGTGCCCAAGATTTCCACAGCCTTTTGGCATGTTCAAAGAATGAGGAGCCGTGGAAGAATGCCCAATATGTAGAGCTCGCAGAATACTCACCAGAGAGGCTGTGGCACCAATAGTGAACAATGAGAGGTCTGGCTGGAGGACCACCTCCACCAGGTCCCAGACATGTAGGTACTCTGCCAGGACAGAGGTTGAGTGCCCCTCTTATGTCCCTCACCCATCTGCGGTCAGGGAGGGCCTCATACACCGTGTGGCATGCTGAGATATGTTTAGAAACCACAACGAACAGGTTCAGCGCCAAATCAGTTAAGCGGTGGCCGTGCAACCATCTGTCTCTCCGAAACAGTGCGCTTAAGCCCTTCCTGATGGTTGCGATGACTGAGATATCGAACAGCGCCAGGGCATGCTATGTACTAATGCAGAGAAAGCCATCCATGGCTAGTCCGGCTCTGTTTTTCTTTTCAACCACAGCCACCTCATCCATAAGGCCCATCCTAGCATGGCAAGGTTGTGGATACCGAGCCATCCAAGCTCTGGCGGTCAGCAAACCTGAACCCAAGCAACCAAGCAGGGCCCTCCCTTTGCATCCTTCCTCCCCTACCAAAGGGAATTCTGGCAGATTTTGTCGATTGCCTTGAGAGCCCATGGTTGGGGGGTCCATCACTATTAGCTGGTAGATGGGGATCGATGTTAGCATGACCTTGACCAGAACCACCCGGCAGCTCTTGTCATCAGGGAGCCCTTCCATCCTGGTAGCTGGTCTGCTATCTTGTCGATGAGAGGTTGAAGATCTGCTTTGTTCATCTTGTGAATGGACAAAAATGGCAAGCCAAGGTAGGCACATTGGAATTCCTTGACCTCGCAATGAAGAACACGGTGGATAGGAGAGACCAAGTGTCGGTGCGAAAAGTGACCAACTAGTAAATATTTGTCGTTTTGCCGTACGTTGTGATCGGATGTGGCCTAGCACTCAATGACACAGGGTTTATACTGGTTAAGGCAACGTGTCATACGTCCAGTTTGAGTCGGTCGGTGACTTTATTCCTGAGCTCAGGTGCTCGAAGTTTGCTGTGGGGTTACAAACGAGAGGGAGGAAGATGGGGGGTATCAGAGGTCCGGTCGGACTCCGGACCGAAGGGCCAAGAGTGACGGGAGCTCCGACGTGTGATAAGTGTTCGAGCGTATGCTCTGTGTAGCTTTAGAATGTCTAAAGCTAGTAGAGAGTGAGTCGGAACGATCCGTGTGGTGTCTGTTGGAATCGTCTAATCGTCCTCCTTTTGGAGAGAGCGCATCCCCTTTTATAGATGAAGGGGACGGCTTTACAAGAGAGAGTATGAGAGAAGGAGTGTGTGCGCGCTACCTAATCTTGTTGCCCACGCCGTCGGGTACAAGGTGGTTTGTCGGCGCCCACAATACTGTTGATGCCTGGATGCATGTGGTTGGTTCCACCGTGTTCTTCTGGTATGGCAAATGTCGGCACCCACCATACTGTAGGATAAATGTTGACGCCCATAACACTGTTCGCGTTCTGACACGTCTGGAAGGTTGTAGAGCACCCTTCTGACATGACCTGACAGTACTGTCCTACATGTGTGCAGGGTACGGTCCTCGGTATTGCGGTTGACTTGAGAACCCTGCCTTACTTGCTCCGCCTGATTCTTTGGGTTCTTACCGAGTGGGCGTCCCCGTTCGGTCGTTTTCCCAGTCGGCTCCGACCGCGCTGGTCGGAGAAGAGCTGTAAGCAGAGGTTCGGTGTACTCCCGGTCGGAGAGGCGGGTCGGAGGCGGAGGCGAGCGTCGTTCCTCCTTGGCCAAGCCTTCCGGTCGGAGAGGCGGACCGGAGTCGGAAGTGAGCGTCGTTTCTCGGCCAGGCCTTCCGACCGGAGAGGCGGGCCGGAGTCGGAAGCGAGCGTCGTCCTCTCCTTGGCCAGGCCTTCCGGTCGGAGAGGCGGGCCGGAGTCGGAAGCGAGCGTCGTTCCTTCTTGGCCAGGCCTTCCGGTCGGAGACTGGATCACCCTTCTGGCATGTCGTTAGGTATTTGGACCGACCCAGGAGTTGCGCGTCGTTTGCAACGTCGTCTGCTGGGCCGAGCTTTTGCTGGGAAGCAGGTCCATGAGGGACCCTGGGTTTATGAACCCGACACCAAGCTTTTCTGTAAGTTGGCATGCACACCCAAGGCACTCCGGGAGAGGTCTAGGATGCCCTTGATCATCCCCACACTGGCGGGTCGGAGGAATGGCACGACATCATCCATGTAGAGAGACACACGAGGTATCTATTGTGGCATCAAGGGTCGTAACAGTCATTGCTTCTTGGCCTTGTTGATGATGGGATGTCCTCAACCTTATCATCCACTCTCCCCCCGCCATAGGCCTGGTCTGCATGATCTCCTCGCCGGTTCCCCATTCGCATAACCGGGTTATTCTAGAGAAGGGAAGCATACAAAGCAGATCGCACCATCCGTGGCCAAATCTGTAATCATGAGTACATACAAAAGGAATTGCCATGACACCG